ACTGCAAATAGTTGCCTAGTAGTGATTTAAATTATGTAAGTGAGTCAAAGCAGGGTGAGTCGGAAGTCTCCAAGGCAGAGAAAGTGGTTCCTGAGCTCCTTCGGGTCACCGAGGCCCAGGTTTCCTTCTCTCGCAAGAATGCTGTCCACTCAAAGACACTCAGGATTTGGGGGCAGCTTCTGGCAGGTAGCACAATCTTGCCCAAATCCTAATCCGCAGTAACTGGACCTTTTCCTTAGGCGGCGCTCGGAGCCACAATCGCGAGTTCGCGCGAAGCATCATGGGACTCGTAGTCTCCGCGGGCATACCCACAGCGCTTGCGTACTGCTGAAGCACGCCTCCTTATCCCCAACCCCATCAGGATTCCGGGTCCTTGTAAGCAGCAGTCTGTGTGACAGCATTCCACCAGAACACACTTCTTTCGCCCACCAAAGATGATCCGGGTCTGTAAAAGAATTTTTTTCGGGAGACTGCTGCAGTGCCCTGGAAAGCAGCCGGAATTAAGCACGCCCCCTCCCGGAAGTGAGCGGCTTTTAGCGCGGTGCATTGTGGGGGGCGTAGTCCTCCTTTCCAGGCGGTCCTTCGCGGCGTCCCCCGGGCCGACTCCTGAGCGCAGGCGGACGGCCGGGCGGGTGGCGCGGCGCGGGCCGGCGGGAAGCGTATTCTGGGCACGGGGCGCCGGGCCGAGCCGCCTGCGCCCGGCGGCAATAGTGGGAGGCTACCTAAGGCCTCGCGCGGCGCCGCCCGTCGAGGGGCTGGCGGTGGCGGACGGACCGGGCCGTCGAAGAGCTCAAGAGGCCGGTGGGCCGGGCCGAGCCGCGCGGCGCAGCCATGCCTGGCTTTACGTGCTGCGTACCGGGCTGCTACAACAACTCGCACCGGGACAAGGCGCTGCACTTCTACACGTTTCCCAAGGACGCTGAACTGCGGCGCCTCTGGCTCAAGAACGTGTCCCGTGCGGGCGTCAGTGGATGCTTCTCCACCTTCCAGCCCACCACGGGCCACCGTCTTTGCAGCGTTCACTTCCAGGGCGGCCGCAAGACCTATACTGTGCGCGTTCCCACCATCTTCCCACTGCGCGGCGTCAATGAGCGCAAAGTAGCGCGCAGACCCGCGGGGGCCGCGGCCGCCCGCCGCAGGCAGCAACAACAGCAGCAGCAGCAACAGCAGCATCAACAGCAACAACAACCCTCGCCATCAGCCTCCACTGGCCAGACCGCCCAGTTGCAGCCAAACCTGGTGTCTGCCTCCGCGGCCGTGCTCCTCACCCTTCAGGCCGCTGTAGACAGCAGCCAAGCTCCGGGATCCGTGCCGCCTGCGCCCACCACTCCCACTGGAGAAGATGTGAAGCCCATCGACCTTACAGTGCAAGTGGAGTTCGCAGCCGCAGAGGGCGCAGCCGCCGCAGCTGCCGCGTCAGAGCTAGAGGCTGCTACAGCGGGTCTGGAGGCCGCGGAGTGCCCTATGGGCCCCCAGTTGGTGGTAGTAGGGGAAGAGGGCTTTCCAGATACTGGCTCCGACCATTCGTACTCGTTGTCGTCTGGCACCACGGAGGAGGAGCTCCTGCGCAAACTGAACGAGCAGCGGGACATCCTGGCGCTGATGGAAGTGAAGATGAAAGAGATGAAGGGTAGCATCCGCCACTTGCGTCTCACCGAGGCCAAGCTGCGCGAAGAACTTCGTGAGAAGGATCGTCTGCTTGCCATGGCTGTCATCCGTAAGAAGCACGGAATGTGAATGGATTCCTCTGCGGCCTGCAGAACTCCTGGACCTTGCAGCCCTAGGAATCCTCAGGCTGATGTTGGAACTCCCCTGTAGTGTGGTTGACAGTACTGAGGCTTAGGGCAGCTGGATTCTTGCTGGTGATCTGGCACCTTCACTTGGGGCTTCTGACTTAATTGGTGACACCAGCAATTATGACTTTGTGTACCCTTTCTCCCCACTTTATGTTGCAGATTCCGGTTAGGCAGAGGCTTCAGAATCACTGAACTTGAAACTTACCCTAGAGGGATGCAGGTGGGATGCCCAGGAACTATGGGTTTAGGAAAACCACACCTTAAGGTTTGCCAGCAAACAGAGAAGACTCTACGGTGGGTAGTGATGAAGATCCAAATAACATCAGTTCTCCTTTTCATGATTAACCTTTTCAGGTGCAGCCTGTGATTCTAATGGGGACTAGTTGATCTGTGCCTCTGTCTCCTAGAACCTCCCCATCCATGAGGTCATTTATGGGGGATCTGGGTGACCTGCTGATGGAGATCCAGCTTGCCAGGGACTTAGGTTTATCCTGTTATGTTTGCTACTGGTTACAAATTCTATTTTCTGTACAATTAGTCAGACTAAAGTTTTCACTGTGTTTGTTTGGCAAAACAAATTAAACAAAAAGTAAGGTTTTTATTTGGGTTTCGCCATTTTATTTTTATAAAATTCACCTAAGTGTCCTTGAAATTTGGGGAAATAGGCCTATTTGAAAGACCAGGATGCCCCTGAGAATAGATATTCTTCAGGTTTCTCTATAAAGTGACCTTAAGCACATGGACCCTGGCCTCAAGGTCCTTGTAGAGTTCCTGGCCCAGCTCACCCCAAAGAATTTGGAAACTGCACCGAAAGTCCCATTGGTTTTCTCCTTATGTCCTTTTAACAAGAAGGTGAAACTGAGACTAAGATGAAGTCTAAGAGTAACTGTTCAGGTCCTCCTATCTCTGAGAGTTTTAAATTCTCTTAAATTTTCAGCTGGTATTGAAGTTTGCTCATCATTTCCTTCCTAAGGCCTAGCACAGTGTTGGGTACACATATGCAAGCAATTACTTAAGCCACGAAGACCACAGCTGGAAGCAGCCATGGGTCCTGCAGTACTCAGGACTCTTGTACAGATACCTTGGCCTTGGTACACCTTCAGTATGAAAGAGCTATCCAAAGAGGGCATTAAGGAGTTGGAATTTGTGAGCTCTTGACTCATGTTTTTGGCTGCCTTTATTTTTTTACTGCTACTGGGGGTGGGGGGGTGGGGTGAAAGGGTAACATTTTTATCTATAGCTCCAAGTAATTTAGCTCAAAGCCAATCTAGAGGTGAATGCCTTTGGAGCTATCTTGTTTACTATGAGTGATGGGGCACTATTAAATGACTTCCTTCTCTTCTGAACAGAGCCACCTGTGTGGCTGTGACCTGGAATGGCCCGAAAATTAATCTGTTTCCCTTCTGGTCCCTTGGCATTGAGGTGGGAAACAATCTTTTGTGAGGAAGGAGGGTACAGCATAGGTTGTATAGGGGCGCACCTGGGGTACCAGATTGGATCTTTGCCTTTCAAGGACTAGCTGGCTGGTAATCAGGTGGTAGAAGCATAGCGCTGCAATTCCAGACCAGCTGAGCCTTATCAGACTGGTCTCTCACATATCACCACTCTCCTTCCTTGGAGTGGAGGCTTTCCCAGGCTTGGGTCTTGCTCTTTAGTGTATCCTTGAGCTCCTGTTCTTTCAAGGGATGCTGCTGATGTACTTTGTTTCTCTTGAACCTCTCAGCAGCACTCCCTGGACCCTTTCCAGTGTCTGGAGGTTACTTGCACACAACCTGTTTTGATTTCCAGGGGAGGAGGAGGTCAGTTCACGGAGCAAGAAAAGCCCCAGGTGCAGGTGTACCACTAGCAGGTAATAGAAGAGAGTTCTCAGTGACTGAGTAGTAGAAGCATTTAGATAGGTAAAGTGGTCTGAACAGTCCTGGGATTTAATCAAGTTTAGCTTGATCTTACCAGTCATCCCCAGGTGGCAAGTGTGGGTGGCTAAAGGTGCAAAACAGGAGTACTGAGAGATTTTAGGCCACGAGAGAAGGCTTAAAGCTATTTCCCTTTCTTGTGGTGTCCTAGGTTGGCTGCAGAGCCATTTGCCCAGCATGAACCTGACCTACAGATAAGCTTTCCTTCAGATGTTTGTGTTACCAGGGAAACGAAGAAAAGGGTGTTGAAAGTAAAGGGCAAAGGATGGGAGAAGGGTTTACTGATTTCCTAGTCTTTTAAATATCGGGAAAAGTTTTGGGTGAGCTAGTTATTTCTCTTAATAAAAATCAAACTCATAGCTATCTGCTGGAAAGAAAAGACAAAATTTAGAATGTTTTGAAGATCCCGCTGTAGAAATGTGAGTAATCAGCTCCAGAAAGCCCCACCTGAGGGGCATCTGAGATTCACCCAAGAAGTCTAGTCTGCTGGAAACCAGCTTTAGGCCCAACTGGCCCCGGGGCAGAGCTCCCAAATGGTGGGACAGCAGAAATTGGGTTCCGCCCGGGCTGGCTTAAGTCCTCACGGCTCAGCTCGAATTGGCAGTGGGAGCCCAAAGGCAGCGGGGTTTCGCGAGCCGAACATCGCCGAACATCACAGGGGCCCAGGGAGGGACGCCCCGGCCAGCTCGGGGCCAGGCAGGCCTCCTACAGAGGCGGGGCTAACCACCCACGGCCGCACAGACTGGGCGGGGCCGGCCCGCTGGGACAGGGCGACTACAGAGCCCTGACCCTACCCTGGCGCCAACCTTCGTGTTCCAGAGGCTTCCGCTGGACCACAATTCTCAGGGGCTCTCCCGGGTAGCCTCCCTCCCTGACTTAGCCTCCCCTCCCGCGCTGCGGGCCGTGTCTGGGCCTCCATGCATAGCACACCGGGAACTGTAGTTTTCTCTTGACGTGCTAATGCCAAAAAGGAGAGCGGCGGGACTGCATTTCCCAGAGTGCAACGGGGCGGGCGAGGGAAGGCAGGGGGGAAGGGACAGTCGGTCGCAGACCGCGCTGGGTTGCCGCCGCCGCTGCCGCCATCGTGCCAGCCCCTCGGGTGAGTGTTGGGGCCAGCGTGCCGGGGCGGGGGCTGGGCCGCAAGAGCCGCGCTCTAGGCCGCCGGGAGCCTCTGCTGCGAGTTTCCGGGAGGCCCCTCCCCTCCCCCCCCCCACGGCCCGAAGCCGCGCGGGGCCCGAGCCATGTGTGGCGCGCGGCTCCGCCTCCCGCCGGTGCTCTGAAGCGGCGGCCTGGGGGAACGCGGAGAGCCAGACAGGCGCCTATCCGGGCTATACGGTGCGGTGGCTGGTGCGCCGGACTGCACTGTGGCCAGGCCTTTTTCTCTAGTTCGGACCATCTGGATGGGGCTCTCCGGGCCCCGCCCCGTCTGGCCTGGCCCGGCCTGCTCGAATCCCGAAAGCTCTCCGGGCAGGCTAGCGGGCAGACACCATCCCCGCGTCCCGCCACCCGCCTGCGAAGATCCGGGGATGGGCAGCGCCACCCGGCTCACTCCAGAGCCAGCATGGGTAAGGGTGCCCGCCTGCCGCAGTCGGGGCTTGGGACTCTTACTCGGTCCCAGACTATAGTCATGCCAGGATGTAAGTGAACGCTCCGCTCCCTGCCTGGCTGCCTGCTGGGAGTGCATGAAATCTACCGCTCCTGTGGTGGAACCCATGCTAGCTTCTGCATGGAGGGTAGGGTCGGGGAATCGGGCCACGTGGGACTTTACCTGTAGCCAGTTTGGGGAAATATGAACCTGATGTGGTAGTGCGGCTCAGTTACCAGGTCCCAGCTACGGGTGTGTTGGCAGGCTGTGTTAGTGGAGAAAGGGAGGAAAGAAGCCAAAAAGATGAAGTTGGAAGTGTGAGCCTAAGGTTTTGTTAGACCTTTTAGGCACAGTCCAATTTTGATGTCGGAACCTCCTGGAGTAAGCATAGAATTGCCCCGCAGAAGAGGATGACTCCTTAAGAATGGGATGACTAGGTGCGGTTTATTGCAAGGGGTAGTAGAATCCAGGCCTGAGTTCCTTGAACCTAGTGCCAAACAAGACACCAAGGTGGAAGGGATCTTGAGGGTGGGGTGCATTTGAGCTGTAGGTGTCAGATTCAGACTCTGCGGGGCCCTTTTGAAGCCTGAGTGGCAGGAAAGAGCTGGAAGCTGCAGAAAGCCAGGCTTCCCCATCCCAACAGTTGGAGCTGCCTGTGAACAGGGAGGAAGCCAATGGGGTCTTGGGAAAGTGCCCTTAATAATGGTACCAGAGACCCCACCGAGTTCTGGAAGAAGGGTTGTGGCCACATAGTTACTATCAGTCATGCTTTGAAAAGGCACTTCTGTTTGAATAATAAATTAAGAAATTAGTTCAGAGAAAAATGCTGGGACTTGGGAGTAATAATTTGTTAAGCCTTGATTCCTCTGCAGCTTTTGAGCCACAGGTTTTGAAGGGACCACAGCAGCTCCATCTCTGCAGACTTGGCCTCAGCAGCAAGCAAAATGCTAGGTCAATCTTAGGAAGGCTGGATTAAGCCCATAATGCAGACAACCACTGGCCCTATCCTTTTTCTTTCTCTTGAATATTTCCCCAGATGATATTTTTCTGGTCATTCTGTTCTTGACTTAGAAGTTTTCCTTGCTCTGCCTAATGATTCTCTCTGGTCCAGAAGAATAGGCAAAGAATGCTCCTTAGATCTCACCAGGGACTACCTTCTCTGGAATTAACTTTCCTAATCCACATCTTGGCCTTTAGAAATCAGGTCCATTCAGTAGGCTCAGGAGAGACCTGGTTTACCAATGGAATTGGGTAGTAAGAAAAGGAACTACCCACAGAACATGTGTAGGGTTAATGAGGTGGCTTCTCTTAGAACTAGAAACAGTTATTTCAAGAGCCTCTGGATTTTATTGGTGCTTTCTAGTACACAGGTTTCAGGTGAGGTGGGCTTATGGTCATGGATTAGTTTGTATATTGCCAGGTCTTGGGTAGCTTGACTACAGGGCTAGTGTTTTTTTGGTTTTTGTGTTTTGGTTCTGAGGATCGATCCCAGGGCCTTGCACTTGCTAGGCAAGCCACTCTACTACTGAGCTACTTCCCAGAACCTGCAGGATCAAAAAGATACTATTCATTCTTCAAGGTTACCCTGGAGTAGGAGGAATTCAGGTCCCTCCCTCCTACTCTAATCCCTTTTGTAACTTTTGTCTGGAGTTTGTCTTGCTAGTCCTGACTATGAGAAGTCCTTGACCTTTCTGGAACTTGGCAGGCCATCTAGATTCTCTTCTCATCTGAGAACTCTGAGGTTCTTCAGGATCTTATCTGTGCCCTCTGTTCATGTAGGACTAACTTGGAACGTGGAGCCTGACATGGGCAGTTGGTATACGTCTGTATAAGCAAGGAGCAGGTTATGAAGATGCCTTTCATTCAACTCATATTTGTTTGCTGGGCACAGTCATACATATCTGTAATCCCTGTTTAGGAGGCTGAAGCAGAAGGATGGCAAGTTTGACATTAGCTAAGACCCTGCCTCAAATAATAAAAAAGGATCAATATAGCTCAGGGTGAGCATGCTTGCCTAGTATGGTAGCCCTGGATTTAGTCTCCAATACTGAAAACAAATTTGGTCCCTTAATGACCAGGAATACACTTCTCTCTGAGCCAGGTCTTGCTTTATTCTGGTGTCTTTGCCATTGGTGAGTTGGTATGGGATTAATGATTTAAGGGAGATAGAGAATTCTCAAATTTTAGAACTGGAAGGTACATTATGTCAAAATGTCAGGATTTCCTTACTGAGGCATTAGTATCTAGTGTGAAATTTTTTCCTCTTTGTTGGCAGTGATTGTGAGGGTTTTTTGGTTTTGCTTTTCTCTAAATGATCTTTTTTATTATTTATTTATTTTTTCAGCAACAGTTCTTTGGCCTTCTCTGTATGTACACCTCTGGGCATAAGACGAAAAATGAATACTACCTAGCCTGGTGCTGGGGAAAGGAGGTCTCCATGTTGGGGGTGACAGACAGGATCATGTTGGTATTATGTGCTGAGGGCCTTGTTGAAGAGACCTACTACCTGCAGGGGCCCTTAATCATGTGTAGGAGAGGAGGCTTTTGAATGATCAGAGGACTGAAGAGAAAAGACTTAGTGGATCCCCCTTCCTCTCCTATGTCTGGCAGAAACTGCCGAGGGAGGTATACCTCTGGATTGTGGGTTCACAAAGATTTGAGTGAGGCTGCCACCACTCTAAATTGCTGTGACTATTGAGTTGCAACCTGCTCTTTGGTCTTCCAGGAGTCTGCTAAGGGTTTTCATAGTGGCTAGGAATCTCCCCAGCATTGTCTGTGGCCTTTCAGTCCCCTGGGTGTGTGGCTTCTGCCACTTTGACTGAAACTCTCATGGTCAGCTTGATTCAAGTGCCAAGCAGTTGTACCTAGAGTAGTGCCCATTAGGACATCTTTCCAGCATAAGAGATACAGGAGCTTCCTTCCTCCCTAGAGACCTGGTCATGGAGGCTCTTTGGGTGTTTCAGCAGATGACCCTTGCCTGAGGTATTGGGAAGGTGAACAGGAGCCAGAAGGGAATTTTTTTTTTCCCCAGTACTAAGGATTGGACTCAGGGCCTTACACATGCTAGGCAAACATTCTTCTACTGAACTACATCCAGCCCTTTTATTTTTTATTTTTATTTTTTAAAATATTTTATTTATTTATTTATTTTTATGTGGGGCTGAGGATCGAACCCAGGATCTTGCACATGTTAGGTGAGCGCTCTACCACTCAGCCCCAGCCCCAAGCCCTTTTATTTTTTGAGGCAGGGTCTCACTAAGTTCCGTAGGTTGACCTTAAACTGGTGATTCTTCTTCCTTAATCTCAAGTAGCTAGAATGATAGGTGTGTACCACCTCACCTGGCCAGCAGCGACTTTAGAAATTACGGTGCTGCTTGTTTTAGAATCTAGTTCCCCACTTCTCAACAAGGCCTCCAGGACAGAGAAACAGTCCTTAGAGGACAGGTGAGTGGATCTAAAAAGTTTTCCACAAAATGGGATTTGGAAGTTGGACAGGATTTCTTTGGGCTGATATGGAGCTGAACCTTATGCTGGACTTCTTGTATAATTTTTTCAGGTGGCCATTTGAAGGTGTTTGTGTTTTGAATTCAGTTTAAGTCAGCTACCTGTTTCCCAACTTTGACTATATGTGGCAGGAATTCCTAGAATAGTGACCATAAGGCATCTTTGCAGGGTGAGCCATAGAGTAACCAGCCCTGTCTATCCCTAAGGGAGGCAGCAGTTTGTGGATTATCCCTGGGATGACTTTCAGGCCATGTGAATGATTGTTCTGGTCAATGCTCTGGCCATCAGGCCTATGTGCTGCCATCTCCCTTCTTATTCTATTATTTGGAGTGTATGCTCCTGGCAGGATGCTTGGCTCAGGTCTGGCTATGGCTGAGAAAGTGTATTAGTAAGAAACAGGGACACAAGGTGGACATGCTTTTTGGCACCAGGGTTCCCACTGTTGGTAGACATATGGCTGAGAACTTCCTTTCACTGTCTTGGGCCTTATTCCTTTTTTATTGCTGGTACATGCTATGTGCTGACTCCCTAAGTCCCTAGGCTAGACACAGGGCTACCACAGAGATGAAGAATATATATCCCAACCTCACTCTGATCCTTATCCTCCTGAGAAAGGATTGTTTGGGGAGACTTGGAACTGTTCACCTCATTATCCTCGGTTAACTGGGAAAATTCCAGAATGTTCTTTCTTTCTTGTTCTGGGAATCAGACCTGGGCCTCACACATGCTAGGCAAGTGTTTTACTACTGAGCTATGTTCCCAGATGGGTTGATTGGCTGTTTGTGTGCTAGTTTTTCTTTTCTCTTTTATTCATTTAGTTATTTTGGTACTGGGGACTGGATCCAGGGTGCTTTACCACTGAGCTACACTCCCAGCCCTTTTCCATTTTTTATTTTAAGACAGGGTCTTGCCAAATTGTCCAGGTTGGCCTTGGAACTTGCATCCCCCTGCCTCGACCTCTTGATCACTGTGACCAGTGGTTATTTCTTAAAGCCTCCACTACTCCATTGGAGCCACTTGGTTTCCCCAGGATAGAAACTAGAAGGCCTGCTGACCCCTTGAAGGTTCTCTGTGTGGAGCCCTTCTGCTTGCAGGTGATTTCAGTCCTAAGAATTTGTCACTATATTAAACCTGCTTTGACCTGGTGAGCATGTGCTCAGATATTTTCCATCCTGAGTTGTATGGAGCTTGCTGATTTCAATGGGAAGAAAAGGCCTGGGCTCTGTTCCTTACCACCTTATTTTGCTGTCTTTATATGTTCTGTTGGCCCACATTGGTTCTCAGCTATTCCAGTCCTGCTCATCTTCATGGACATTGTAATGCTAACTGCTAGAGGCCTTTTATGGTCTTGAATTCCTGTATTCCTTTGTTCCTTCCTTCCTTTTTTTTGACAGTGCTGGGGATTGAACCCAAGGTTTCAGACATGCTTAGCAAGCTCTCTTCCAGCCTTTTTTTTTTTTTTTTTTAAGATTTATTTATTTATTTGTGCCAGGGATTCAGGGATTGAACCCGGGGTGCTTAACCACTGAGCCACATCCTCAGCCCTTATTATTTTTGAGACAGTGTCTTGTTAGGTTGCTTAGGACCTTAGTGAGGCTGCATTCAAACTCGTAATCCTCCTGCCTTCAAGTTTACTAAGCCACTGGGATTATAGGCGTATGCCAGTGTGCCTGGATCTTTTTTATAAATGCTGTTTTGCAACAGGGTCTCACTAAGTTTCCCAGGCTGGTCTTCAGCTTGGGATTCTGCTGCCTCAGCTTCCTGAATTGCTGGGATTACAGTGCTGGTACCACTATTCCTGGCTCGAATTGCTTCTTAATCTTGTCATGGCTTCTTTTTTTTTTATGGCTTCTTCATCTACGAGTGAAGATACTCATACCAGCCCTGCAGCCTTGTTGTGAAGCTCAAATAAGAGGACATGTGGAAGAGTTTGACTTAGAGGAGGTGTTTCTTTTACCCACTGTGAACTCTGTTCATACCTTTATTTCCCTGCTGTTCTCAGTCTTGGGATGTCACAGCAATGTTGTCCAGGCATAGTAGTAGCAGACCACAGGAGTGGTTACTTAGAGGATGGGGATGTAGCTCAGTGGTAAAGCACTTGTCTAGCATGAGCAAGGCCCTGGGTTCAATCCCCAGTACTGGGGAAATAAAACCAGGAGGGGTCACTTAGGGGCTTCCCTTAATCAAGTCCCTGTATACCTGACAAAGTTAATGGCATGAAGCTCTCAGTTCACATATGGGAGCTATTTGGAAAGACTGAGGCCCCAGAGATCTTGTGAGCCACTTGAGAAATGAGGTGCAAATGCAGGGCAGAGAGACCAGAATGTGGTCTCAGGATTCCACTTCTGGATATATCAGAGTAGCCCAATGGCTCTGGAAATTCTACCATCCAGGTAGAAGAGGAAGAATAGGCTTGTACAGTGCTGGGCTAGACCTCTGTTGTTTAGTTCAGAAAGGGTTCTGTCTGGCCAATCATCAGGCATCTTTTATAGACTTGAGGCAGAGGAGTAGTGGGCTAGACAGTTGCCATTTCTGGGTCAAAGGGCCTACCTGCAAGAGGCTAAGGTCTTTTTCCTAGTGTTGACTTAGAATTCCTCTCAACTGGGTCCTCTATGATCTCAGTTATTTCTCTCATATGCCCACAATTACTGATGAGACAGAGTCAGGGGGTCACACAACAAGGGAAAGGTAGAGCAGGCTAGCGGCTAGATCTTTGAAGGGATGGCTGTATGTCTGCTATTCAGCTACAGTTGCCCCTCAGATGACAAGAACCTTTAGTGAGACAGTGTTGGTTAAGCCCCACCTGACACTCCACAGACAGATAACTGGATAGATGACAAAGGATCGTTTCCTGGCAACTTTGAAGGTGTGGGCAGGGGGGAAGTGGGTCACTGGGCCACTTAAATTGAGCAGGATTTGCCAGCATTGACTCCTCCAGACAAGGAGTCCCATGAATTTATGCAGTCAATCAAAAAAAAGTTATTGTTGAACCAGGCACCATGGGAATAGGGGTGACTAGAGAGGTGCCTTTATCAGGGAAACAGACCATAAAAAAGTATATAAGTGGGACAATCTATGTGGTGCTGAGAAAACAGTACAGCAGGTAAAATGAGTATCTGGTGGGCTACCTAAACTGGGAAGTCAGTAAAGTGTTGATGAGGTGGTAACATTTGATTGATGTTTATGACATGGAGCCAGGGGTGTTGGGGCAAGAGTGAGCCAAATAGAAAAAGCAATATTTGCAAAGCCCTTGGGTAAGAAAAGCAGAATTTCCAGAATCAGGAAAATGCCTAATGTGGCTGCCAAAGAGGGAAGGAAATGGATGGCAAGAGACAAAGTTGGGCAGCTGGGAATGGTAGCTAACCCTTAGGGAGTCAGAACAATCTGAAATTGTTCATAAAGTGGGGGCAATCCTACCTCTGTGCACATTTCTTGGGAAAGGACCACAATTTTTGAGACATTCTCAGAGGGTCTTTGCACCCACAGAGACCTAAGGGTCAGTGGAGGCTGATGCTCAGTGGGTGATGATAGCTCTTCGAGGAGTCTGACCTGTCAGCCAGCGGACGGTTGGGGTGAAACAGGAGATGATGTGGTCAGCTGCCTCTCAGAAGAGCTGTAGGAGAAGCCATCAGGATGAAGGTCAGTCCCCAACATGATGTGAGGCTGCCTCTAAGCCTTGGCATTTTGTTTCCTTATAGGCTGTTATTTCCATAGTAAATGTGTTAGGAACACAGTCAAGGCTTGCCAGCCCTTCACCTGGAATACCCACAGCCCAGAGCCACAGTGCTCCTGGGCAGAGGAGCAAGGCCTATATATTAATAAGGGTTTGCACACAGGTTGATTTTGGGGGGAAGAGCCAGAACTGATCAAGCAGATGAGGTTATCTTGGCAGGAGACTCACCTGTGCATAAATCCAGGTGAGCAAGTACTGGACAAGTTATGGTATGTGTATGTGTTTGGCATTACTAGATAAAAGTAGGAGAAAATGATTGATAAGATAGGGATAGGGATAAGTGGACAATGGATGACCACTGGCAGAGCTTTGGGGATTTGGTCTTTCAACCAAGGTTGAGGGTGTTGTAGGGTAGGAATGTGGCCAGCTTTGTGTTTTAGAGCTTGGGAGTGGAAAGTTCATGGCGAACAAGTGCTGGCCCTGACTAGAAGCCCCAGTATTAACACACTGATGGGTGGTGAGCTCACTATGCCCCACCAAACTAGGAAGCCCTTCTGTTCCTTTATCCCTCCACCACTACTCTCATCAAGTAGTTTTTGTATTAGAAAGTTATCATACCATTAAGAACAATAATGGAAAAGGAAAACACACCCCCTGTCCTACCATGTGGCAGCACTTTTCTTGTGTTTGCATCAACTTCCAGTCCCAGTTCCCCTTCCTCCATCTCCAACTTTCTGCTTTCCTGCCCTCTGTTTACATGCCATCAGATATCTGCTGGTACTGTGTCTTCTGATTGGCATACATTTTTTTCTGGGACCTGCCCTGAAGGCTGCCCAACCCTGCCATGGATTGTGGCAGGAGAGATGGCTCAATTAATTCCTGCAATCTACCCCTGCCCCCAGAGGTCTGGGAATTGGGCAAGGTATCATGGGGGATGCTGTGGAGTTGGAGCAGGATTGAGAGAACTAAGCACAGTGAATACTAGGTGGAGGGGCAGAGATGTGATGGGAGGCTATGCCCTGCCTCAGGTACTCTGAGTTTCTCTGTGGGTACAGCTTTTCTCTAACCTCTTGAAAAAGTACCCAAGAGAACAACTGAGACTAGATAATGGGTCCTTTGCTTCTCCCACTAGTTGACTTTTTTGTGGCAGAGTACGAATTGAGACACCTTCTGTTCCTATGTATAGGCATGGCCAGATCCAAGCTTTCTTCTCTGCTTGTTCTAGACCTTCCTGGACATTTCTTAGTCATCCCAGTACTAAGCTTCTATTTTTAGTGCTACTACCTCTCAGGGGACCTAAAATTAAAAATTGGCTTAGTTTCTTAGATCCTCATTGGCTGGATTATTGGTCATAGGCTGGGGGATTGGCTGTGATGTAACTGTTGGTACCTTCTGGCTTCTCTGGCCTAGGGTGAAGTCACAGGGACTTGAGTGAGTCTGTATTTACCACATTAAACAAGGGATTTAACCAAGTTCTCCAGTGAAGCTACACAACCACTGGCAACATTAGGGTTAGGATCCCCATTTTACTGGGGAGGCTGAGGAAGAAATCCCTTTAGGGTAGTGACTGATGTCATGATTGTCTGTTGGAATTGAACCCACTTCCTCTCTGCTTTTGGCTCACAGTCCTATTATCAGATGGAGCATGCTCCTCTCCATTCAAAGACAACTACAGAACATGAGGTGCAGAGAAGTGTGGGCCCTCTCACCCAGGGCTTGGGCTTTCTATTCGGAGTCCTAGAGATTATTATCTGTGGCCAGGAGGGGGACTCCCTTCAAGATACCCCCTAGGGATAAGGCTAGGATGGGAGGATGTAAAGAAATTATTGTTTTCCCCTTTTCCATACCCCTCAGCTATCATTACTCTGATCCTCTGAACTCATGGCCCCAGCTCTGAGGCAGGGAAAAGTCATCCTCATCAATGGAGAAATGCCCCAGAAAGGGCCAAATCGGGTATCAACTAACCTCACAGATGCCAACTGCTCCTTTGAGACTAACGGAGTTATTTTTGTTCTTTTTGTTAGAAGTGGGCCTCGAGGAGCCATCACTTCCCTATTCTCAGTGGATCTTCCCCCACCTGCCAACAAAACCCTGGGACAGGGTGGGGGCCTGAGGTCTGAAACTGAAACATTCCATATAGACATCGGTAATTTCTGGTCTGTGAAGTAGGAAGGATAGTAGTAACTCTGGTTTATAGCTTGTTGAAAGGATTAAATGAAAACATAGGGGGCTGGAGCAATTGCTTAGCTTCTATTTCAAGGGCCTACTCCTTATTGGACATTGCAGGATCTGCTCTGATTTTCCTTTCTCAGGGCTCAACCCTCAACACCCATCCTGTATGCTCCACAACCTTGGTACTCTGTCTCATCAACCAAGAGCTCCTCAAAGGAAGAACTGACTTTGGCCTTTCTCTGGGCTTCTAGCATTGGTCTAGCTTGGAAGGAGATCTCCTATCAAATCCCTAGGATTTCTCCATGTTCCTTAAGAGAACAAACCTCAGCAAAGGATTCCCTGTGCAATGAGGCCAGGGAAGGGGTAGGGGTCAGTGGCTGACTACCTCCTCATCTTGGAGTACCAATGCTTGCCTTTTTGTCTCACTGTTCTTGCAGGTCTCAGTGACGCTGGGTGACGCTCCAGAATGGGAGATAAGCCAATTTGGGAGCAGATTGGATCCAGCTTCATTCAACATTACTACCAGTTATTTGATAATGACAGAACCCAGCTAGGTGCAATTTATGTAAGTCTTCAGCTTTATGGCCAGAGTAGAACTTCAGAGGATCAATTCAGATGTTGGGCCAGTGGGCTGGAATTGTAGCTTAGTGGTAAACCCCTTGCCTAGCATGTGTGAGGCACTAAGTTTAATCCTCAGTACTGCATAAAAATAAATAAATAAAATAAAGATATTGTGTCCATCTACACTAAAAACTATATATATACTTTAAAAAGATGTTGGGCCAGTGTGTCCACTTCACAAGTTTAGGCTGTCCTGGCTCTTCCTCTCTGAGTTTCTGTTCATAGGAAAGGAGAATCAAAGCCTGGTCCAACTACACATTTCCTTTTGTCATCTTCCATAAGAACTGGGATCCTACTGTCTTGGACAGAGGATTCTGGGCTTACCATTCCATGTGGCCACCACCTTATCAGGGCCCATGGTCCTGAGAGTGCCTCTAGTCCAGACTGGGTAGCAGCAGGCAGAGGCTGAGGCTTATGGTACTCTCTGGAGGCAGCGGCTATGAGCATCTTCAGGGCAGAGCTGAGCTCTCTTGGAACCCCAGGTTCAGCTTCCCTTGGAGCCAAAAGCCCCTGAACACATGTGGGAAATGAAACCCTTCTATGTAGACATTGTTTACTACTACTTTAATGGTGTTCATTTATACTTGTACTTGACCCTGCCTGAAATTCGGTCATAGAGATGCAATTGATTAGGCCACTGCTAGCAGATCTGCCCAGGATGGGAGTGATATGATTCATCCAGGCATAGCCTCAGAGGTTGGTTAGGCTGTAGGCAAAGTCTCCTTTTTAAAAGTCTAACTTTAAAAAGTCAGGGAACAATTAGAAATTTTAGAAAAAAGAAAGGACTTTTAGCAGTGAAAGACCAAACCCAGCATAAGTATTACAAATATTAGGGTTAAAATGATTGTCATTACAAATAGAGACTTTTTTCTTTTTCCAGTGCTGGGGATCAAACCCAGTGCCTAAAGCATGTTTGGTCTCATCTTCTCAAATAAAGCAGGCTTTGTAATATGTAGTGTAATGCATTCTGCTGTCATATATTAAAAAAAAAAAATCAATAAAATTTTTTTTCTAAGAAGAAACTAGATACTCAAAATTAAATTTTAGCAAAGAAATTAAAGTCAAAATAAATCTTGTCGATTATGGTTCTGAAAAAATAAATAAAGCAGGTCTGACACAGAGAATTTAGTAAAGTCCTAAAAGAGCACTTACTATACATTGTTTCATAATCCTTGGCACATTTCCCCTTTGAAGATTAGGAAATTATGACTCAGAAAAATAAGTAGCTTGCCTAATGTCATCACTGGAAGTAGCAGAGGCTCTTTTGAGTTCTACCTCTGAAGAAAGGGAAGGCATCAAAGGGCTAATTTAATGGATTTAATAATTTAATGGATTTAGTGGCATTTTGTCTGTTGATGGTAGTCTAGGGTTCCAGGCTACGTCTTGAGAGGCCTTGTTAGCCTCCATTCCTCCCTGACTTGAGTACTTAGAAGGGCCACTGTAGAACTCAGCCATAGACCTGGAAATGGTAATAAACTTGGGATTTTTCCAAGTTATTTATTTTTTTAAATTTTGTTTTGTTTTTGTGGAATTGGGGATTGAACTCAGGGCCTCATATGCTAGGCAAGCACTGAGTTACATCCCCAGCCAATATTTTAAATTTTTTATTTTAAGACAGAGTCTTACTAAATTACCCAGGTTGGCTGTGAACTTGTGATTCTCCTGCCTCAGCTTCCCAAGAAGCTGGGGTTATAGGTGAGCACTACAACATCCAGCCCAAGTTCTTTTCTTTTTTTTTTTTCTTTGGCCGGGGGGTACCAGGGATTGAATTCAGAGACACTCAACTACTGAGTCACATCCCCAGCCCTATATTGTATTTTATTTAGAGACAGGATCTCACTGAGTTACTTAGCACCTCACCCTTACTAAGGCTGGCTTTGAACTTGTGATCCTCCTGTCTCAGCTTCCCAAACCGTTGGGATTACAGGAGTGGGCCACCGTGCCTGGCCCAAATTATTTCTTATGACATATCTGGGGCTGATGCTTACTAACCATGTGGCAGGATGGCTTTTGGCTGAGCACTGGCCACATGTGGCCCTCCTGGGGCCCGTGGAGATTAGAGGCCATATGATCTCTTGAATAACAATGGGAAATGAAATCAATAAGTATATTTTGTTAAATAGGCATTTAGAGTCTGGGCCCATGGACCAATGGGGTGTGATTTAAAAGTTGTTGATATTATAAACTTTGGAACTACCTTAGTTCCCCTGTTTGTGGACAGGAAAACTGAAGTGTGGACTCATTTTGTCAAACAAGACCCTTTCTCGGGTCTTAAGAAGAGATATTCTTTGTCCTGAGGCCCTGACCCTGGGTTTCCTGTGCATTTTTAGATTGATGCATCATGCCTTACGTGGGAAGGACAGCAGTTTCAGGGGAAAGCTGCCATTATGGAGAAGTTGACTGTAAGTAAGAGCCAAGCTTGGGTGTGGGCACTCCTTCCTTGCCCCTTCTGACCTCAGCCCACGGCCCATTCTTTCTCTTGCAGAGCCTTCCGTTCCAGAAAATCCAGCACAGCATCACGGCGCAGGACCATCAGCCCACACCAGATAGCTGCATCATCAGCATGGTTGTGGGCCAGTTAAAGGTAGTAGTGCTGCTACAGTGTTATAGTAGTCCTGAGCAAATAGCAGAACTCTGGATCCCTGCCTTTCCTGTGTATGTGATCTGCTTATTAAGGGACAGCTAGATAAAGTAACTGTCTTGATCTGCAAAGTTCAATACAGTAGCCATTAGTCATATTTGTTGTTGTTGTATTGTTGTTGTTGCTATTTGTTTGTTTGTTTTGTGATGATGGGGATTGAACCCAAGACCTTGCACATGGTTGACAAGAGTTCTACTACCAAGTTAAACCTCCAGCCCTGCAATTTTGGATTTTATTAAAATTAAATAAAATTTAAATGTAGTTTCTCGATTGTACTAGGTATATTTTAGATGTTCATGGTTAGTCATAATCTTTTGTACAGCACAGATACAGAACATTTCTATTATTGCAAAGTTATAATAGAGAACAATGATCTAGAGTATTTAGAGACAAGGTCTCACTGAGTTGCTGAGCTCCTTGCTTTTGCGAGGCTGGCCTTGAACTCGCGAACTTCCTGCGTCAGCTTCCCAGGCTGCTGGGATTACAGGCATGTGCCACCCAGCAGTGTGGAATATAGAAAGGAGACAAAAGGTATAAGAGAAGGGTCAGGCTATAGTGCTAAACCCTTGGGCCCCTAAACTACCTCAGGGTATTAGATTATCCAGCTGGGTGCTAAGGGGCAGTCCCTTTCTGGAGCCGGCACTGCTATTACCTGACCTGGCTCCTCATCTGCCTAGAAAAACAAATTTCTGGAACTCCTGCATTTTTCTTTCCCCTTCTCAAGACCTGTCATTCTTTCCAGCATGGTGGCACATGCCTACAATCCCAGCTCCTTGGGAGATGGAAGCAGGAGGATCTCAAGTTTGAGGCCAACCTGAGCAACTTAGCAATACCCCATCTCAAAATAAAAACTAAAAGGGGCTGAGGATGTAGCTCCATGGTAGAGCACCCTCGGATTCAGTCCCTAGTATTGGGTGGGATCCAGACTTGTCAAACTTGTCAAACCTACCTGGCCCTTTGGACCCCTAGTAACTCTTGAAGGAACCTATTGTACTCCAACATATTAAAGTCAGATCATATTTTCAAAATACTTCTTTCATCCAGGTATGGTGGCTCACACCTATAATCCCAGCAATTTGGAAAGCTGAGTAGGATCACAAGTTTAAGGCTAAACTCAACAATTTAGTGAGTCTCTGTCTCGAAATAAAAAATAAATAAAAAGGGTGTTGCTTGGTGGTAAAGCACTCCTGGGTTCAATCCCTGGTACCAAAATAAAAAATAAAAAAGTTAAGTCTCTCTTCCCAAAACAAGAAAACTTAACTGCCCCTTGGCCAGGCCCCAGTCTCCTAGAAATACGTGTGTCAAGGTGGTGCTCACAGTAATAGTTTCACGTGCTTTCCCAAGGCTAGTTAGGACAGGGCTTCATAAGTCTAATATGGCTGTGGAAGGAGGGATATCCCAGCCTCTGCAGTGGACCCTGAGAGACATGCTTTCTGACTTTCCTGTCAGTTTCTCCTGTCTGTCCAAGATATTCTGTATCTAATTAGGCTCTCGGGATTTAAGAGGTATCTGCAGGGCTGGAGTTGTGGCTCAATTGTAGAGCGTTTGCCTATCGTGCCAGATACTGGGTTCGATTCTCAGCACCACATAAAAAAAAAAAATAAATAAAATGAAGATATTGTTTCATCTACAGCTAAAAGTATTAAAAAATAAATAAATAAAAAGAGGAGCCGTGGTTGTGGCTCAGTGGTAGAATACTTGCCTAGCGTGCGTGAGGCGCTGGGTTTGATCCCCGGTACCACATAAAAATGAAAACAAATAAAATAAAGGTATTGTGTCCATCTTCAATAAAAAAATATTAAAAAAAAAAAAAGGTATCTCCAAGATACTCAATGCCTACTTTCTTAGTTAGGATAGTTAACAGTGCCCCTTCCCACCTGGTTTCAGATTCTTCCTGATGTTTCTGTCTCACCTACAGTTCCCAATGACTGATTTGCTACTTTGTTGACATTAATTCCCAGAAACACAGTTGATGTTGGAGACACCACTGGTTAGCTGGACTCTTACTTTAGTTAGGCCTCATCCCACTTTTCTCCATTTTGGCTAGAGACTGCTGCTTGCCTTTCTTTTTCCATTACAGTGTTATATATTACACAACAGGAAACAGATCACCCAAGTTTATACTGTTTTTCCTCTGTCAATTTGTGATCCCATTGTGAATTCAGTTTTAAGCCTTTTCTCACCTAGCCCCTGTCAGTATTAGCAGTAGTTTCTCCAGATTGGATTGGATGGCATTATCAAATACTAAGACTGTTTGCAGGGATTGTTTTTGTTTTTAATTTTGTTATTGTTATTTGTTTGTGTGTGTGTGTGTGTGTGTGTGCGCAAGTGCTGGGGATTGATTGAAAGGCAAGCACTCTACCAACTGAGCTATTTCCCCAGCCCTTGTTTGCATTTTTTTGATACTGTAAATTACATGGTAAGTACTAAAAGATTCTTCAAAAATTTTGATCATTTGTGCCCAGAGATATGGGTTTGAAGGCAGGTATATTCTCTGCTTCATTGTTGAAGCTAGCTGGTGAAACAATCTATTTTTAATGCACATGGTAGTGGGAGCTGCCATCTGTTGGCTTGTATGTGCCCAGTACAGTGTTTGATACATTATATCAATTTGCATTCACATTAGTTATATTGGGATTTGAGACCAGGGCAGGAGGGTGTGATCCCAAAGTTGACATTCTCTGCCTTACTCCCCTACCACTAAATTCCTTTTCTGTTCTTGGTCCTCTTACAGAATCATTTTCTCTCTCCTCACAGGCTGATGAAGACCCTATCATGGGGTTCCACCAGATGTTCCTATTAAAGAACATCAATGATGCTTGGGTTTGCACCAATGACATGTTCAGGCTTGCCCTGCACAACTTCGGCTGACCTCCTCCTGGCCAGGCACTCATGCTGTTTCCTCCTCCCTCCTCTTCCCAATACTATCACACTCCTCCAGATGCTCCAAATATCATACACAAATAAGCAGGGCCACAGTGGGAGTGGGCGCAGTGCGCTGCTGCCACCAAGGTGTTGTGCATGATGTTTGGACACTAGCCTAGTTGCATCTGATGGGAGAAGTTTGTGTTGTACCAGCGCATGCCTTGGAAAGACTTAAGTAATGCAAAAGGTTGTCTTTTTTTTTTTTTTTTTAATCTACTGACAAGTTGCTCTAGTAACCCAAAGAAGTGAAGGAGAAAGCAGCTGCCTCACCACCCAGATATTGATTTGTTCAGATGTTTCAATGCCTCATGATACAATAAAACACGAAATTTTTCTTAACAGTTTAAATTGTTTTAATTAGTTTAATAGTTGACTAGGCATCAACAGCTACCCTGTTCCATTGTCTCTCATGTCTCACCCTCCCACCTGTCCTAACTCAGCAGTACCTGCTGCAAGGAGAAAACAGGCAGAAGCACACTCTCAAGCCCTGTGGGCCAGAGTTCTCCACAGACTAGCTGGTCTTGGTTAAGCAAACAGGGAGAGTATGGTCTGGCCTGAGCTGCTTTTGCAAGGAAGCCAGTGCTGTCTGTTCTGACACCTGTGACCTCTGCCGTGGGTAGGTTCAGGGCTCTAGTAGCAGGAGAGGATCCTGAATCCTGTTGTTGCTGAAGAGATCTTTGCACACACAACCTACAAGGTTCAAGCCCTCTAGGCTGAGGTTTCAACAAAAATGACAGAGGGACCTCGTCTGTCACCAGAATGGACAGGATCCCATCCAGGGTGCCCCATATGCCCCAAGCTAAGCAAAGGGCAGCCCAGATCCTGTACCACCTGCTTGGGATATCATTGCCCACAGAGCTAGTCCCCACTGGGGTGGAATGTAGATTTGGAACAATGAGAGAAGTCGTCTGAGCATAAAGGATTCATATTCATATGGTATCAGTTCTCAGACCTCTCGGACATTTCCTGTCCACCTCCTATTTGTTATACACACTGCACACCTTCAAATCCTAGGAAGTCAACTATTAGGACATTTTTCTGCTCCTCAGTTTTGGGGGCAGAGGTCTTGTCCAGTAGAAATCTAGCCCTTCTGTCCTGAGACCACTGGATGGTGTAAACCTAGTAGCAAAGTAGTAACTGCAGACTATAACCAAACCCAGAATTTTGGGCTAATGCTGTCAGAGTTCTTAGGATTGGAAAGGGCACCCCAGCTCAGGCCGATCTGTAAAGGCATACCTTTCCCCTCACCCACTATGGGAGAAAGATAAGGATTTTCTCAGACCCCTCAGGTTTCCTGGCTAAACTGGGCACACACAGAGCTAGATGTGCTGTTTGTCAGGGCACATTTTCAGATTTCAGTGGGACTGGTCTCCAGCTGCTGTGTTTGGGGAAGTTTGGGTTGGGGAGAGGTAGATGCCTGCTGCCTCTTAAACCATCCTGTATAAAATCTGCAATACAGCTTCTTCCATGTATCTGTACCTGAAATGTCTGCAATAAAGAGGTGTTTGTAAACTATGGTTTCTTTCTTTCTAACCGGAGAGGAAGCCCCTTGGGACAAGGGATGCTGGGGGACAGTAGGAAACAATGACCTTTATGGTGGGACTATCTCCCCTGCCCTTGTAATTCCTGGACTTAATGACCTCGTGGGTCCCCTCGGGCCTTGGGTTATTCCAACCCATTTCCCAAAGGGGACACAGGCCTCTGTCAATTCAGTTTCTCCTGGGGGCCTGAGGAGCTCCACCCTAGGCGGTGGAGTTAATCCTGTCCTAGGTCTATCTAGACTTCATTTAGAGCAGACAGGAACTAGACTCGTCCCAGGGTGTCCTTGGACGAGTAGGGCTACCAGCCTGGTAACTGTACGTGGATTTTTGCTGCTCTTCAGTCTAACAGAACTCCGACCTCACTGGCACTGGGTGGAGGTTGCAAAGGGTGATAGGCTTCTGTAGAAGCTAGGCATTCGCCCCTACCCCGGAACCTTTCTTCTTTCGTCCTCGCAGGTTCCGGGAGCGGAGGCTTTTGGGGGCCGGAAGTGGAGGCGGTTGGTGAGGTTGGCGGGGCTCTGGACGCTGCACGGGCGGCGGTTTAGGAGCTGCGGGTGGACTGAGCGTGGTTACCGGCGCCCAGCTCTCTGCCCCATCGGGGCTGGGCGAGGCTGGGCGGTGCGCGGCGGCAGCGGAACGAACGCCGTCCGGGCGGAGCGCCTGCGGCTGGGCCCATGGCCTCTTGCGCGAGCATCGACATCGAGGACGCCACGCAGCACCTGCGGGACATCCTCAAGCTGGACCGGCCCGCGGGGGGTGAGCGGGGATAGCGCGGGTTGGCCCTCCGCAAGCAGGGGAGTAGGTGGCGTGGATCTGAACCATTCTCAGAGCCCGCAGTTCCTCTAGGTCCTTTAGGCCGGTGAGGGCAGACCAAGTCAAAATCCCTAAGCGTACTGGGCGACTGGTGCAGACCCCTGGGTATGACCCCTCCCCATCCTGACGCCAGATATCCCGTCTCATCCTTGAGAGTCTCAGCTGAAGGTGAGGTCCCTTCTTTGAACCGAGGCGCCCCTCTGGTTTCCTGGCCACAAAGACTGGTATTCTTGGTACTGGCCCAGCGCCCCTAGCCTTTCGCGGTGGATCAGAGGCCTACAGTTAAGCGCTGTGCTGAAGAACCTCTGGTCATTCTCTACAACTTGCTCTTCCCTCTGGAATGCGACTCTAGGCCTGCTGTTGCTCTGAAATCTATTTTTTGGAGGAAGGTGGCCAGCCCCAATTCCGTGTTCTTTCTGTGATGAAGGCAAATCACAGATTGCACAACCTTGATTGGATTAGATTTCAAACATCTGCAAGCCTAGCTTGTTCCAGTTCATTTAAATATCACTAGTGATACTTCTGAAGCTCTCTTGCTTGCCAAGAGCCCCCGAACAGAGCTAACAGGGTTGCAATAAAATGTTGTCATTGTAAAAGAATACTGTTTTGGTACTGTTATGGAAATAGGGTGGAGGCAGAATGGAGCTGGAGATGCAGAGGGCAGATCTGAGAGAGGAGACTGTTTAGGCTAGGTCTCATAATAAGGACGGATCTTGGGTATCAGGAAAGGCACCCAAGGCACCTTTTTAGATGCCACATGTTACAAAAAGTTGTAGTGGTTAAAGGATTGGCTTGAAATGGTGGTATGGGTGTTCGGAGGCCACATTGAGAATTGGTGTTTATACTTTCTGGATGGCCTAGTCTGGCTGCTTCTGGAAGCAGGCACTGGTGGTTAGCTCCAGGTGGGTTTAGGTAACTCATACTCTGCGGAAATCTATTTGCTGCCTGAGACCATTGGGCCCTTTGACACATACTTTGTGTGCTCCCTTTCCTCATGAGTGTAGCTTGTGCCTCAAATGCCCATATCATCTGCTGAGCAGACTACACTCCACAGAGATTTGGTAGAGCTTGGCATGACCAACCACATACAGCCTGAGCCTCCAGTTTATCTTCATGGTAGGCTGCCTGAAAGGGAGAGTGATCACCTTTTCCCTGAGCAGCTATGGTGGCTCTGAATCTTGTGAAGTGACCTGGAGGCTTTCCTCCTAACTCCATTGTTTATTGATTGGCACTTGATTTTCATTTGCCAAGTAGTTCTTGCTTGTCTCCTCCCCACGAAGGACCAAGTCATACCTCATACGGTCTTGTAACTGGAAATTTGCTATGTTCCTTGCTTCCTGGGAGTTTTGGCAGTGGTGTATGAGCCAGTGAGAGTGCTCAAAAACCAGCCAGTGCAAACAGTTAAGATGTTGTCTTTCCTAACACCATGCTTCACCCTATAGTTTATCTCCTTTTTGTTCAGCTCCTTCGTGTACATTTCCCCAGAGTTTACTTGTCTGAGATGACTTCAGAGCGATTTCTGTTTGGGACAGGACCCTTGCTTTCTTACTGCCACATTTATTCAGGCCTTAGGAGCCTTTATCTCCAAACCCTGCCACTGCTTTGGTAATAGGCCCTGGTTTATCTGTCACCAGATTCTTAGTTTGTATGCTGCCTTAAAGCAACCAACCTACTGGCCGAAGCTGACCATATCACCTTTTCCTTTAAAATTCTTTTGTGGGGTTGGGAATGTAACTTAGTAGTAGAGTACTGGCCTAGCATGTACAAGGCCCTGGGTTCTATTCCCAGCACTTCTAAAAAAGAAGAAAAAAAAAATTGTGGTTCTCATTGTCCACAGGGAGAGTCTAAGCCATCTCAGTGTCATACCTGAGGCCTCTGCAGCCTTGGTTTCCCTCCATTTTCCTGCTTTTCTTTTGTTGTGATTACAGTGATTATAATAGTGAAGGTGAGGTCCCTTCTTTGAACCAAGGTGCCCCAACCACATTGAACTCTCATCTCCTAGGTTGAGAGGTGAGGACACAAACTAAGGGCTTTACCTGGGTGCCCAGTATAGAATGGAAGTAGGCTCATTCCCAAGGAGGGAGGTGAGCAAGGGAAGCTGTGGATCTGAGAACAATGGACCAGGCAAAGCTGGTCATCTGGGACTAGAAATCTTTACCAGGTGGCCTTTGCCATGCTCTCTCTCAAGTGTTCCTCTTGGAACACCTAGGCTGACCCCGATGTGATATTATCTGGCTTCACACATGCTAGATAGGCACTCTACTACTGAGCTATACCTTCAGCCCCATCAGAGGATCTTTAATGGCATGTATCCCTCCTCCAGGTGGAAGAACCTCATGTTCATCCTTGGTTCTTATATCAGCATTTATAGAATGAAATATAAACAAAGGGCCCTCCTCCCCATGGACATACTATGTTCAGTTTTTTTCCTAGAGCACCTCATGGTCCAGAAGGAAGTTCTGTTGTAAGAGGGGCTAGTGGGAATGTGTAACAACCTTATCAGGGTGTCTCTCTTTCCCCAGGCCCCAGTGCAGAGAGCCAGCGGTCATCTAGTGCCTATAATGGAGACCTCAATGGGCTCCTGGTACCAGACCCCCTCTGCTCAGGTGATGGTACCTCAACAAGTAAGCCTGGTCTGCGGATCATACCACCCATTAACCTGCAAGAGAAACAGGTCATGTAAGTAGCTGGGAGATGGCAAATGTGCTGATGGTACTTTGGGGGCATCTGCTAAATGAGGGCAAGAGGTGCCAGCAGCCTCTGCTGCTCCTGCTCTGGAAGACCTGGGACAGAGCACTCAACCACATTGAACTCTCATCTCCTAGGTTGAGAGGTGAGGACACAAGCTAAGGGCTTTACCTGGGTGCCCAGTATAGAATGGAAGTAGGCTCATTCCCAAGGAGGGAGGTGAGCAAGGGAAGCTGTGGGTCTGAGAACAATGGACCAGGCAAAGCTGGTCATCTGGGACTAGAAATCTTTACCAGGTGGCTGTGTCTTCTCCTTTTCTAATCTTGCCGTTAAGGTATACCAGACATACGTAACCCTACCATTAAGCTTTTGGGTGAATAAAACAAAGTTTGTGCACCCCTCTCTCCAGCTGCCTTTCTGGAGATGACAGCTCCACCTGCATTGGGATTTTGGCCAAGGAGGTAGAGATTGTGGCCAGCAGTGACTCCAGCATTTCAAGCAAGGCACGAGGGAGCAACAAGGTAGGTACCAGGATACTGTGGCACATATAATGTATGGAGACACACCCAGCCTCTCCCTTCTCTCCCATGAGTCCAGTTCCTGTGGGTACCACCCTGACAAACAGCATGCCTCTATTTCAGGGAGCCAGGCTTTGCTGTCAAACCTCTGTGGGAATCTGGCTCAAGAGATTTCTGTGAATGACTGGGTTTTCATCTGTGTCCTCTCCATCCCCAGAGTTGTTGAGATTGCTGAGGCTCAGAGTTGCTTCAGCCCTCAGTTTCTTTGACTTTTCCTCACTCTGGGTTTTCAGGTGAAAATCCAGCCTGTTGCCAAGTACGACTGGGAGCAGAAGTACTACTATGGCAACCTAATTGCTGTGTCCAACTCTTTCTTAGCCTATGCCATTCGTGGTGAGTAGGGGCTCTGGGTTGTAGGAAGTATTCTGCTGGAAGCTCCAATTTGGGACCACTCAGACCTTAGGATACATTGGGAGGCTTCTCTGGACTGCCCTAACCTCTGTCAGGCCTGGTGGAGCTGGGTAGGAAAGCCAAGCTTGAGATGGTGGCAGTGAGGCAGGCAAGGGCAGAATTTCTGTACGATTTGTTGCCTAGGCCTAGATGTTTGCTCATGGCCCCCTGCTCTCTTGATTACAGCTGCCAACAATGGCTCAGCAATGGTGCGAGTGATCAGTGTCAGCACTTCAGAGCGGACCCTACTTAAGGGCTTCACAGGCAGTGTGGCTGATCTGGCCTTTGCACACCTCAACTCTCCACAGCTGGCTTGCCTGGATGAGGCAGGCAACCTGTTTGTGTGGCGCTTGGCTCTGGTTAACAGCAAAATTCAGTATCCATTCCCAGGCATGGAGGCTGACGAAGAGTGGGCAAAGTGGGGGTTGCCAGGCATATTTAATCATCCATGTGTCTAGCCCTTAACACCCTGCTCAGAGACGAGATCTTGGTCCATATCCGG